GTTCCTGCTGCTGCTGCTGCTGCTGCTGCTGCTGCTGCTGCTGCTGCTGCTGCTGCTGCGTGTGCTGGTATGCTGGGGGTGGTGGTGGGTGCTGTTGTTGCTGGTGGCTTAGTTGCTGCTGTTGCTGCTGCTGCTGTTGTTGCTGCTGCTGTTGCTGCTGCTGGCTCAGCAGCTGCTGGCTTAGCTGCTGCTGCTGCTGCTGCTGCTGCTGCTGCTGTGGGGCTCCAGGCGAGGACGTGCGGGAGTGCCTGGGGGGCCCCCCAGACCCTGGGGGCCCCCCCCTTACTGCTGCTGTCTGCGACCCGCAGCTAAACTCTGCCCAGGCAGTGGAAGTTATTTTCCACTTAGCTGCGGAGATGGCTGCAGCAGCAGCAGCAACTAAGGGGGCCCAGGGGGGCCCCCAGGGGCCCCCAGGGAGCTCCAGATGGCCCTAATGGGGCCCCGAAAGCCCCTCAGGAGGCCCCGGGGGGCCCCCAGGGGGCCTCGGGGGGCCCTCAGGGGGCCCAGGGGGCCCCGGAGGGGCCCCAAAGTTCTGCCTAAAAAGCCATAGAATGGACCCAAGCGACCTCGGTGTTTCTTAGGGCCCTCTAGGGTCTTCAGGGGGGCCCTTATGGGCCCCAAGAGGGGCCCCCAGGCCCCCAGGGGAAGCCCCAGGGGCCCCCAGGGTCCCTCCCAGGGGGGCCTCCTGGGGGCCCCTAGGGGCTTTACTAAAGAGGTCTTAAAGGCTGTGAGAAACTGTAGAAAGGGTCTGAGGGCCCGGCCCCCAGCTTTGCACAAGACCCCAAGGGGCCCCCAACTCGGGGCCCTTAGGGGGCCCCCAACATGTGGGCCCCCAAGGGGCCCCCTGGGGGCCCCTTAGGGGCCCCCAGGGGCCCCCGGGGGCCCCTACGCTACCCTGGTCCCTTGGGGAGCTTGCAGATGGCTTGCCGGGGGGCCCCCAGGGGCCCCCAAGGCAGCCGCAGGACACAGTGTAAGGCACAGCTAGCCACACAAAGTGTTTGGACTGGCTGTTGGCTCAATGCCTAGCTAGCTAGGTGGCTAGCTGGCTCGCTAGCTAGCTAGGTGGCTAGCTAGCAAGCTAGCTAAGGGGCTAGCTAGCTGGCTAGGTGGCTAGCTAGCTAGCTAGGGGGCTAACTAACTATCCACGTGGCTAGCTAGCTGGGTTGCTGGCTAGCTACGTAGCTAGC